TACAATTGGCTAAGACAGAAACGATATGGACATGTCACCATCGATCCTGATACTACCATAATTAACATGACATCACTAGAGTTGACCACTCTTCAGAAAGAGCTCCTCTGTCGTGGAACCGATTTCGGGATTCCACCAAAATCAAACAAGAAGGAAGTAATCATGACCGAGTTTGAGCTCTTTTACCGCAAGTTATTACGCTTCAGACCGGTGTCCGAGTCACAACAGTCCATTTGCGCCGCAAAGATCCGGGCAGAGGCCGAGGAACACGCTGATGCATTACCGGATAGAAGAACGTTTTCATTGAAACGCGAACATCTCAAAGCCCTGCATGAGCTACGTAATAACAAAGACATTATTGTCACGCGCCCGGATAAGGGTCGTGCAACTGTTTTAATGAATAAAACTGACTACATCGAGAAGATGTCCGTTATCCTAAATGACACATCAAAGTTCCGTACACTTGGTCCGGTCAAGACCTGTGATCGAACTGAAAAAGTAGAAAAGGATCTTGTAACTTACCTTAAGAAGCTAAAGAATGAAGAACAAATATCAAAACATGAATTCGATCGCATCAAACCGACTGGTACCCTTCGCCCTAGACTCTATGGCCTTCCTAAAATTCATAAACCTACATGCCCTGTTAGACCAATAGTATCCATGACCGCCTCCCCTCAATACTCTATCTCGAAATGGCTGTGCATCTACCTACAGCCTGTTCAAGATTTCTATTGCAAACGCACTGTGAAGGATAGCTTCGACTTTGTTGCGAGGCTTCGTGATAGTCCGGTCCCTCTCAATGCACACATGTGTTCCTTCGATGTTGTAAGTCTCTTTACGAATGTTCCTATTGATGAGACTGTTGACATCTGTATGGATGTATTGTACCGTAACGATGATGTTGATACTCCATGGGTATCGGAAGCGGCGTTTCGTCATTTGATGCTGTCAGTTACAACTGGTGTCGAATTTTCGTTCAACGATGTGATGTACAAGCAAGTAGATGGTGTGGCGATGGGATCTCCTCTTGGTCCCGTCCTCGCCAATATATTCGTTGGTTATTGTGAGTGCAAGATTGATGAGTCGCTTTGGCCCGCGTTCTACGTGCGTTTTGTTGACGATTCGTTCACGCATTTTGACAGTGTTGAGAGCAGTGAATTGTTTCTCGATGTGCTCAACAACCTACATCCTTCCCTCCGCTTTACTTGTGAGCACGAGCAGTCTAGTAAGTTGTCATTTCTAGACGTGCTTGTAGAGAAGACTGGCTGTGAAATGTTGACTTCTGTGTATCGTAAGCCTACGTTCACCGGTCAGTACATTGCCTTCGATTCATATTGTTCGTTTCAATACAAGGTCAACTTAGTTCGTAACCTCGTGGACCGTGCGAAACGTATTTGTTCGCCCAGTAAGCAGCAGGCCGAGCTCGATTTCCTTCGATCTGTTTTCTTGAAGAATGGCTACCCGGAATTCTTGTTGCGTAAGTTTCTGTCCATGGAGCAGAAACCGAAATCGGTGCTGATTGGTCCACCTCGCTGTCCCGTCTATCTATGTTTGCCATGGAAGGGGCAGGAATCGATCAAAGTGTGTCACGCAGTCAAGTCTATCGTCCGTCGTACTTATTACGCAGTACATTTTGTGCCAGTCTTCACAACAATGCGTGCGTTCACGGTGCGGAAGGACGTCCTACCAACCCTCCACCTCAGTCATGTTATCTACAACTTCGAATGCCGACATTGTGCTAGTCGGTATGTTGGTAGGACTGTTTAGCACCTGAACGCACGTATCAAACAACACACTCCACTTCACATCCTTCCACCCAGTGCGCAATCTGAGAGGCCCAAACGCGGGAGGCCTAGGAAAAACCCATCACCTAGACGGCAGGATAGTTCCCTGCCGCTGTCTGCCGCTCCCCCTCTGACATCTGTGTTGGACGGGCTGGAGCTTGGCAGCTCTTTGGAGGTGCGTGCGGAACCGCCACTGGTGCAGCCCTCGGGTGTGCCTAAGTCTGTGCCTCTGGGTGCTTTGCATGGGGCTGTGCCTCGAGTGGTGACAGCACCTCTGCCTCCCCCTGACCCTCCTCCTTCGAGGTCTGTGTTGGTGGGGAGCACCCGTGGTGGTCGATTTGTCCCACCGGAACCAGAGCTGGATTCAACAGAAAGACCAACAACCATGGCGGCAACAACAACACCAGCTTCACATCCAACAACAACACCAGGTTCACATCCAACAACAACAACAACAACTAATCCACAAAACAAAGCAGCAAATGACAGACCACGGAGATCTACAGCAGATTACAACCGGACCTATGAATTCACGGTAAAAATACAAAGGAAACAATCGGAAAGGACGACGACTGACGTGAAGGCAACGGCATTCAGGGTTGGCGTGGGTGGTGAAGGTGAGACGCAGGACGATGCAAGTGAGGAGGAGAGTCAAACCGCGGTGGATGACGGAGCAGGTTCTGATTCGGACAGTGAGGGAGAAGGTGAGCTGAGTGAGGGTGAGAGGGAGTGTGAGGGTGTGCGCGTGAGTCGAGATTGTGTGCGTCCGTCTCGTAATAACAAGTCTTCAGTATACAATCATTTGGTTTCTAGTACTGACTGTTGTCGTACTTATTCTGATTCCTGTTTTTCTGTTTTGTGCCGTGCTCGTCATGGTTATCTTTTGCAGTTACAAGTTTTGGAAGCTGTTTGTCAGCGCATTCATAAGCCGAATTTGTGTGTCCAGAAAGATAGTGTTATTACCCTAAAATTGTTCAAATAATGTTCTGTTGTGTAGTGTGGCAACGTTGTTGCCACTTGTGCCTAAATGTGTTTTGTCACCTTCTTGTTTATTATTGTTATTATTATCATTCGTTCTCACTTTTTTTGTTTTTGTTTTTTGTTGCTGATACACACTTGTCACGCTTAGTTCTTACTTGTATACCCTTGTTTTCTGCACACTTTTGTGAGAAATCGCACCTCGATATTCTAGTGCTGTCATTGTATCGTGTCACCCTACCTTGATTGCTATATTATTTCCTTTGTTCTCATTTTGTTCTTTAGTACAACGGTGATTCCTGAAGAGTGTTGTACGAAAACTTGTTCGAATCATCTTTTTTTTTCCATTGCCCTTTTTCTTCTTACATGTATTTTTCCTTACCCTTTAGGTTGTTTCTTGCATCGTCTCCATCGCTTACATTGTTAATAAAGTAGTCCACATGTCGCTTCAGCTCGTCCTACTTATTGCCATATTAAAATTATTGTCTCCTCGTCGAATTTTTAAATAATAATAATAATAATAATAATGTCGTAGTGTTGTGTGGCCATGTCTGCTTCGATTGAATTCTTAATTGCTATAATTAAATTGCTTTCTCCACACACAATTTTTGATGCATTTTGTATAGGCATATCTCTGTCTTCTTAA